CCACGCCCCACCAGCCTTTAAGGCCAAACTCCTAACTGCCTCAGGGCCTTTGCATTTGCTAAGTTAGCTGTCTGGCATTCATTCCTTCAGGTCTCAACAGCAGGATCAGCTACTGACAGGGATCCTCACTGATGACGCTGAGTAAAGCCACCCTCCTACTCATTGTCTATCACATGCTTTATTTCCTGTAAGACATGTGTGACTCTCTGAAATCATCTTGTAGGGTTAATTGTCGTTCCTTTGAGACCTATCCAAGTGCCCTCACCTCCAACATGAGCTCTGTGGTTCAGAGGCTGTATGCCCCACGCCTAGCACAGTGCCTGGCACACACACACACAAGACAGGCATTTAATAAATACTTAGTGAACAAGTGGACATACTCATTCTCGGTAGGCAGAGGCTGTTGGGGACCTTAAGGCATCTGGGACACCCCAAGCTGAACCTCAAGGCTGCTGGGTAAGGGGCAGTGGAGACCCATACAGGTGAAGTCAGATCCAAATTTTGCTGCTAATAGCTGTGTGTCCCTGGGCAAGCTGTCTAACATCTCTGAGCTTTATCTTCATCTATGAGACAGGAATAAGGTACGTACCTTACTGGGCTGTCACTGGATCAGCATAGGGGAAGGGCCTGTGTCACAGTGCTGGGAACTGCCGGCCACCCTCAGTCACTGCTTTCTTCAATGAACCAGTGGCCCAGGGAAGTACTTGGTTAGTATCAGGATCCATGATTCCACTGAAGTCAGACACTGATATTTCCAAAAGCACTAAGAAAGAAAACGTGTGAAGACACTGCCAATAGTCATGACCCAATGCTTTCATGTCGCCAGAAATTTTATGTTATACTTACTCAAAGACCTCTTTCGGACCTACCCTCACATTGATTCTGCTGCTGCCCCCCCTTTTCCCCCACAGATCTGCAGTGAGTTTACAAAAAAAGGAAACTATTAGGGATATCAATGGCTTGAGGTGTTCCTAAAACTCCTCTGAGGTCAGAGCTGCCTCAGAATCTGAGCCATCCCACAGCCAAAATCCTGAGCCCCTTGGCCTCTGCCTGAAGGATGATCAGCTCCCCCCACCTGCCACCCACCCCATGTCTCCCTGCACCTCAAGAAAGGTCTCCCCTCCAGCAGGCTTCCTGGCTCTCTCCATGGGGGTAGGGGGTCAGTGCACCTGCTGCGGGGACAGTCACATCTTGCAGACACAAGGCCCCCAGTGCCCTGGACACCTCCCCCCAAACTGTTGTATGAACTCAGATTTCAGAAAAGGGAAGAGGTCTTAAACTTGATGAGGTTCAGTAATATTGTATAAGAATTAGGAGGGGGGCTTTTTAAGTCATACAAGGGAGAGGCCCCTGCAGAGCTAGGGCATGAGGTGACCCACTGGGCCTTACTACAGACGGGAGGAGGACCTGCCTTTCACTACATTTTGTGTATCTAGGACCCAGGGACTGGGCCAGCAAGGAGGCTGGCCCAGAGCCAGGCTGACTGCACAGATGGCCCTGTCTCTTTGGTCACCTTTCTGCCCCACTCACTGAAGGAGTAAGGCTCCCCCACTCCCTAAACTGGGAAGGTAGTATTTGAGACATTTCCTTCGGCTCCAAGACCAGGCCTGACTGAACTGGACAGCCAGTGAGGCAGTTGTGGTCCTCCACAGCCTGGCTCTGGCTCCTGGAGAGGCCTTGGGGACAGAGGCTTCCTGGATTAGCTGGGGCCCTCTCTGGACAGGGGACCTTGGTGGTGGGGGGGGTGGTCCTCACTTCGGAGGCAGGAGCTGCTCTTGAGTGTAGAAAGAAAATCAGGCAGCAGGGCGACCAACAATGAAGGAGATGCGTGGTTTCTGATCCCACGCGGGAGTCCCCAGAAGGTGTGGCAGTGGTGCTAAGGGCCGCGCGGCTCCCTCCTCCCTACCCCGCCCCCAACCCCCCCCCAACCGTGGGTACAGGAAGCGAGTGCCCTCCCTCCAAGAGGTACAAACCTCATACAGGCCTGATTAGTTTGATCCGGGGTCCGAGTTTCTTCTCTTCCTATTTATGAGTTCCCACCAGAGAACTTGGATCAGGGAAAGGGTTAAGCCAGAGTAAACTTTATATTTTACAAAGAGGTGTGGCGTGTGGAGCACCCCCCCCCCGCACTGCACCTGTCACGTCCTGGCGCTGCCCAGCTTTGGGCGGAACCTGGGGACGGGCTGCGGACCTCAGGCCCGCCTGGATCGGACCACCCTCTTCCCAAACGCTCGGGTGTGCCTGCCCAGCTAGGCTCCCGCTTCTACCGATGAGAACGACTTGCACAGGCTCGTGGTCACAGTACCCCTCCCCGGCTAGGCCCTGCAGCCAACCCTCCCCCAAAGCCTCCCCTACTGCCCAACCCGGCCAACCCCCCTCCCTCCGCCCTAGAAGCTCGGAAAGCGCAGATTTGGCGGCTGTCGCCTAACGCGGCAGCCCAGCTAACCCGGCACTCGGCCCTCGGGCGGCCCCAGACTTTGCCGCCAGGAGGGTCCCCGACGCTGCGGGAGCTCCCTACAGCCCCCACCCCCGCGCCGCGGCTCTCGCGAGATGCCCGAGCCCGCTCCTTCCCGCGGCCGCCGGCCCTGCGCTCCCCGGGCGCAGCCGCGACCTCCTTTGCCCGCGCAGTCCCAGGATTGTTTCCCAGGACCTTGGGGCGGAGAAGACATTCGTGCCGCCGGGGAACGGGGCGGGGGCGTGGAGACCGGCCCTTCCCGCCGCCTGGCCTGCGGTGAGGGGCGCACGTGCTGCAGTGCCGGGAGGGCCACCGCGAGGGTGGCATCCCGCCGACACACCGCGTGCCCTCCGCGGGAAGGATGCGGCCCTTCTCCTGGAGTCTCGGCTCTGCCGGCCGCGGGCAGCGAGCCAAGTCTGGGGCGCCGTGGGCACGTCGTGGCTTCTCTGGGAAGCGCTGAGCTCCCTCCTGGGCTTCCTGATCAAGGAACCCCAGCTGCCGGTGGGCCGCCCCTTCCCCTGCCCACGGAGGGGCACAGCGGAGCAGGCAGTGCCGGGGACCCCCCACCCGGCCCGCACTGGGGACCCAGCTCCCCCTCTGACGACGAGCTGGTGACCTCTCCACAGCAGAGCCGCTCAGGCTCCCCCTCTGCGTCTGGAGGGGCTGCCGTCGCTGGAATATTGGGGCCCCTGTGCTCTGGCTCTCAATTCGCTGGATGACGCCGCCCTCTCCGACCTCTTCCCTCGGGGCCCTTCGGTTTAGTCCAGTGAAGGGGGGCTGCCTTGGGCAAACGCGCAGAACCGCAGGGCAGTCTGCCTAAGGTCGCTTCCTCAGAGTGAGTCCAGCCTGCGGCCCCAGAACTCACTGCGAGGCTGGGTCGGAGCTGCCCTTCTCTTCTCTTGCAGCCTCCTTCCTTGTACAGCCCCACGCGGCTGACAGAGGCTGTGGCTGGAATCTGCTCCCAGCGCCCACCCGGGACAAAACTTGTGGGACCTTCCCTTTCCTCCGATTCGATGTGGAGAGAAGGACACGCAGCCTCGTGCCTCTCTGGGCTGCTCTGGGCCTGGGGCAGGAAGGTTACTGCCACGGCCTCGTGTAGCCCCCTGAGGGTAACCCTCGGGTCGGGAGGGATCAGGGTCGCAGCCCAACACTGCAGATCTGATCCCTCCCGCGCCGGGACGCTGCGGGATTTCTCCCAGACCGCTGACGAGATCAAGGAGGCTAGCAACTGCTTGCAAGGTGGAGCTAAAAGTCCCGGAGCTTGTTTCCCTGAGACTGGCCGGGCTGGGGCATGCAGAGAATTGTCTGCAGCCCTCAGAAAGAACCCACTCTCTCACTCCTCCCGGCCTTGACCCAACGATACCGCGGTACTCGGGGACTAGACATCCAATCACTGATTTTTCCGGGGAAACGCTGAAGCCGCAATTTGGAGGGAAGCGTGGCCACCACAGGTGGAGGCCATAACCGTCGTTTTCACATTGGAAGATGCCAAACCTGAATCTGGGTATGCTGTTCCTCTGTCCCCCGTATTTGCGCCTGGAGGACCTGGTTATGTCCTGGTCACACTCGGAATCTGCAGGGCCAAGATGGGGTCTCTCCCTGAGCCTTAACCAGCAAAGTGGCCATCTCTCCATGCCCATGCCCTGATCGTCTTCGTAGGATTTGCAAGGACAGGATACCCCAGGTCTGCCCAGTCCAACCTAGAGGGACAGAAGTCAGCAAAAGCCTTCCTGTGAGGAGAGGACACCCGCGGGCACAGGCCATCGAGCTGCACCCCTAGAAAGGGCGCCCTGCGAGAACTGGGGAGGCTCTGGGTCATCTGCCTGGGTCAGGTGCCCCAGCTGCCGGCAGCCGCACCTCCGGGCTAGGCGCCACCGCTGGACGTGCACCGCGCAAAACCTGAAGACGCGGTGGGCAGGCGGGGCTGGCGGCGCGCCTCTGTGGGGACCTCGGACCCCGGGCTTCCCTTCTGCCTTACGAAGAGCTGGCCAGGACCATCTCCAGGGCCCTCACAGGCGGTTCTTCAAGTCCCCAAAGAGCGAATCAGCAACCGTAAGAGGCTCTCAGCGCGGGGACACTTCCCGAGCCAGCTCCGTGGCGGCCTGGGGTTCCAGCCCCTCTGGGCGAGCCCTGTGCTACCGCCGGAGCCCTGGCCTGGGAAGTTAGGGGAGGGGCCTCAGCCTGACTTCTCACACGGAGAGCAGGCGATTCTTGAGATCCTGCAGCAACGGGTCCGCCTGCCCTGCCAGTCCGAGCCCGTGGGGGCAGGTCACAGTTCGTTCCCATGAAGCCCTGGGAGAGGATGTTCCAGAAGCCAGTGCGAGTGTCCCCCTTACGTTGACGCGACCCCCCTCTTCCAGCCCCGCAGACTCGGAAACCCCTTCATCAAGCCCCGCTGTGTCATAAAATATTTTATTGGAAAAAAAAAAATCACTGTCTTCGCAAGAGAGGGGTAGGAGCCCCAGCGACGTGGGGGACCCGGAATCAGGGTAGAGCCGCGGGCTCTCTGGGCGCCCTGTCGGGCGGTAGTAGCCTGAGCCGGGCGGTGGGGTCCCCGACGGGCGGAAGCTAGTGTGTGCCGGCCGCGTCAGGACGCAGAGGGCCGGCGGAGGCGGGTGGGGGTGCGGGAGAGGAGCGGGGCGTGAATGCGCGCGGAGCTCTGGAACCAGGTGTTCGTCCGCTGCGCGGGACACGAGTCTCCAGGCCAGGGCTGGGAGCACGCTGGGGCCGGGCTTGGCTGCAGGGTCTGTGTCCTTTCTTGCTTGGCCCCTAACTGTCCGCCTTCAAGGTAATAATAAAACGTTTATAAAGTAAACGGCGTGGCCGCAGAAGGGCCGGCTCGCGGCTTCCAGCGGGCGGAAGGAGCCTCGGTCGACGCTTTGCGCGCTCAGTCCTCGCGGCTCCTGTCGATGGTTTCGCCTGGTGCCTCTGCCGGCTTCTCTGCCTCCTTGGCGCGCTCCTGCTCCGTGAGCTGCTCGCTCGTGGGAATGGAGTTCTTCTTGGGCCGCCCCTTGGGCTTGGTGGGAGACTCCAGGCCGCCGCCCTGCAGCACCTGCGTATAGGACGGCCCCGCGGCCGTGAGCTGGGACCCAGGAGCGGGACAGCGAGCCCCGTGCCCCGGCAGGGCCTGCCCGGCACAACAAGGCCATTTGAGGCCGCGCCTAGCCCGGGGAAATGGCGGCCATTTGAGCGCTGCTGGGGAAAAGCAACCGAAGGTTCTATCCTAGGAGTTCAAGACGGCCGGAAGGCCTGAGGGTGCAGCGGAGCACAAAGGAATGTGGGCTGTACTAGGGCACCCAGAGGCAGGGAGAGAGCAGAGAGAGTCCCTGCGAGCACCAGGCATGGAGGGAACCAGAAGAGTTGGGTAGAAGTCTCCGCGGAGGGGGCGGGGATGGAAGGTCCGGGAGGGCACAGGGGCCTGGTAGCGACGGGGTGGGGGGGCCGCGAAAAATCACAAGCACACTCACTATTTTCTTCCATTTCATCCTCCGATTCTGGTACCACGTCTTCACCTGCAACTGGCTCAGGCCCAGGGATTCAGCGAGATCTATTCTGGAAAGAACAGGGTGCACCTTCAGCAGAGCAAGCAGACCCCTCCCACTACCCGTTGGGCTCAGCCTGGCCCCACCGCTACCTGTCCGGGGTGGAGAGGTACTTCTGTTTCTCAAAGCGTTTCTCTAGGCCCATCAGCTGCAGCTCAGTGAACACCGTGCGGCTCCGACGCCCCTTCTTGGCCTTGGCGCCCGGCTCCCCGCTGCCCGGCGTCTCCAACTTTCCGCGGAGCTGCAGCTCAAGAGGCAGGTGCGGCGCGCCAGGGGCGCCGGACAGTCCAGGCCCTGCGGCCAGTAACGCGGAGCCTAGCCCGGAGCAGCCCAGCGGCGCCAGCGGGAACTTAAACACAGCCGCCTGCTCCGCCTTCAACACGGCTGCAGGGAGAGAGAGTGCGGAGCTGGTGAACTTGGGCCGTGCTCCTCCTCCTGGAGATCCCCCGCATTGTGCGCTGCGCTGCGGGAGTGCTCGCCGCAGCTGGCTAGTGCCACCCAGCGTGAAACCTTCCTGCCGGGCCACAAAGCAGGAGATTTGCGCCGCTTGCTTAGGGTGACCCTCTTCAAAGCCAGCTTCTGTCGCCGCAGTCTAAGAGGGGGACCTCCCCCACCCGGGCCTCTGCCTGGTGCCCCCCAGGCCCCAGCCGCCTCCCGGATTCTCAGTGAACAAGGTCGAGGCTCCAAGAAGCACAGTGTGTCTTTCACAGAAAAGGGAAAGCAAGAAGAAATGGCAGCGAGTCAGGAAGGTGAGCCTTTGCCCCAGCCAAGCCGGCATGGCTGCGTCCGAAACCAGAATGTTAACTGCGTGAGCGCATCTGCTCCTCGGTGCGGGCGCCACAGCCCCGCGGCTGGCAGGCTGGGGTCGCTAGCGTGGGGTGGTGGGGGTGGGCGCTTCCCGGAAACTCCAAGCACCCCCGCATCAGGAAATTGTCCTTCCTGTTTTCGCTGTTTACACCCCTCCCGGGAAGACGTTTCCATTTTTCACGAGTCCTATGATGATGGTTTTTTTTTTTTTTTTTTTTTTTTTGCCCGCTTCAAACGAATTGTTAGCAACAGTGCAAAGAGCGGCGGAGGGGCTGCATCAGAACTGTATTAAAACGAACAAACTGGCCCTGCAGCCCTCCGCGCTGGCGGGGCCCTGGATGTTGGGTTTTGGGTGCAGAGCAAGGCTGTTTGCAGGGCGGTGCGCCTGCTGGGACGTAGGCGGCCTCCCTTCCCGGGCAGGCATCTTACTGCGGCGGGTGCGCGCCCCCCTGGAGTCGTCCAGGGCCGGGCAAGGTGCGGGCAAATGTGAGGAGGGGACGAGCGATCCTTGGGGGAATGTGGGAGAGGGAGGGCAGACAGATCCCATCGAGAGAAGTCTACCGACGGGCGGAGAGAGACCGGAAAAGGCCAGAAGAAGAAGGGGTGCTGAGGAAGAGAAGAGGCAGGAAAAGGCAGGATCAGCCAAGTACGGAAGAGAACCGGTGGCGGCAGAAAAATCCAGAGCAGACAGCTCAAGATCCAAGGAGGCCCAGCCGACCTGGACGGAAAGGGCCAGGCGGGCAGCAGCGCACAGCCAGGCCTCTCGTCCGGAGGCAAGGCCCACAGGAGTCAGCGCTGCGGCAGAGGCCGTGGGTTCCCCCACATGAGACCCCGGGACTGGCGTCAGCTACCAGAACAGCCCTTGGAGACACGGGCTTCTGCGCCGAAGGTCCGGCTTACCCGCCGTGGGCAGCCGCGGCCACTCACGACCAGCCCTCTGCGGCTTAGGCCTGGGAGTCCGAGGCCTGAGGTCTCTTAGACCCACAGTCTGACATTAGCAGTCTGCTCCCGCGCTAGGGATGCGGGCTCGGGGCCCGACTGGAGGCCACAGGTCGGCGGTGAAGGACAGAACGGACTCCCTCCGAGCCGGCTCGGCCCGCGGGAACCAGGCCTGCTTACTGCGCGGCCGGGCGCCTGCACCTCGTTTCCCTGGCCGGATCGTGCCCTGGGAAGCCTCTGCGCCCAGAGCTGCGTCCTCGAGGCAGCGCGACTCGCTCCCCCCAACACCCGGCCCCGCACGTACCCAGGTGGCTGTGGAAGGGCCGCGCAGCCAGCAGCGCCTGAACGCCGAACTTGAGCAGCTCGCCCGCGGCGGCGGCGGCGGCGGCGGCGGGCGCGGCGCCCTTGGGCCCCGGCGGCTCGGTGAGGATCTCCTCGATCATGAAGCTGCGGTAGCGATGCGGTGGGTGGTCGGCGCAACCCTCGGGCAGTCCGAAGCGCGCGACGCCGGGCTCCCCAGGCCTCTGCATCGCGGCGCCCGCGGCTCGGTGGCGGTGGCGGCTCGGGCACGGGGCCCGCGCGGGGCTCTAGGCCGGCCCGCAGCTCCGGGCGGCGCGCGGGTACCGGCTCATGCCCCCTCCCCCGCCGGCCGACCGGGCGGAGGCGCAGGGCGCGGGCGGGGCGCGCGGGGCTCGGCGGGTCGGACCCGGGACTGCGCCCCCGCCCCGCGCCGCCGCGCCTCTAGCCCGGCCGACCCCGCGTCACCGCCCCGCCCCGCCCCGCCCGGCCGCCCCGCCCCGCGCCGCCGCCCCCACCCCCCAGGCCGAGCCCGAGGGAGGCCTAAGAGGGGAAGGAGGCGGGAGGGAGGGGGCCGCGAGAGGGGCGGGCCGACGAGACCGAGGGGACCCAGCGGAGCGCACGCCCAGGAAGGAGAGAGCGGGAGAGCTCGGAGACCAGACCCCCAGAGATGGGAGCGAAGGGTTCGAGAGAGAGAGGTGAGAGAGGGGCCAGCGCGAAACAGCGAGGCCACACAAGACGCGAGACAGCGATGAGAGGGTGCCACGGACGCCGAGACGTGCGCACAGAGAGGCCGACGCAAGCGCGGGAACCAGCGGGCCGCGACGTGCCGGAGGGCACAGAGGCAGGCAGGCCCGGGCATGGGTAGTAAAGAAAGGCCGGGGACCGGACCGCTAGGAAGGCAGTGGCCTGGCCAGGGGTTAAGGAGCCCTGGAGAGGTCGGGAAAGGAGAGACAAAGTCCGCCCAGCATGGCTGGGGAAGAAGTAGCCGTGCGCAGCCTCCTGGCCCGCGCTCAGAGCCACCCGCCACGGTGGGGTGCAGCCGCAGGCAGGTGTGCCACTCTCAGAGCAGCGGCCGCACCTGTGCACTCCCGCCTCAGTTTATCAGAGTCGGCCTTATCTGTCTCGAGCTGCGGTGAGAGGTCGTCCAGCCCGGATGTGCTTATATGACCAAGTGACGCAGGGACACATCTTCCTTGGCGATCCCCCTCCTGGTGGAATGGGTCCTGTCCCCTCACTTAGAGGAAGAGACGGACACCCGGGAAGGAAACACTGCAGCTCCACCGTTTCCCAGCTTTAGAGTAAGAGCACAGTGCTGAGCTGGGTGAAGGGCCACAGGCTGTCCTGGGAACCTGCGGACAAACTCTGGCATCACCCTACTGGTCTCCGAGCTTTAGAGTGCCCACACATGACTGAGGGAGGTCCCGCGTTCCCTGGCTCCCCCCAATCACTGCAGAAATAGAAACCCAAGCTGTGAGGTGAAAAATCTCCCCAGCTCTCTGCTGAGTCTCTCTCTCTTGGGCTCTGCCCCTCCTGGCAAGTCACTGTCCCTTCTGGGCCTCAGCCTCCTGACCTGTCCTGAGGAGCTGCGGCTGTGGGGCTCCAGGGAGGCCCTGATGACTGAACAGGGGGTCCTGCACCCAAACCTGTGGCCCACAGGTCTGCTGGGGAGGAGTACACAGTTTGGGCAAGGCTGACGGGTTTCCAGTGGCGTGGATGGGTATCTCTGGAGGCTGCGGAGAGCGCAACCCTCCCCTCCCATCCCTCTGCTGAGGTCCTGGACCACTTCCCCACTATGTGAGCTTTGCCCATCCTCTGTGTTCGCTTCTGGGAAATACCAGAGTAGGACCTACCATAGCCATGGCCCTTCTCTCTGCAAGCTGATGCAATTTCTCCAGCTCCAGCTGCTGGCAATGAGATCCTGAGGCCAGTCCCAAGCCCTGGACCTTTTGTTAAGTAGATGGCCAAGACTCTTTGTCCACAGGGACAAAGAGAATGTCTTACCAGAGGCTCTGAGGTCCCAGCTGCCCCTCGCCACAGTGGCTGAGTGCCTTTTGCTGGCACTGCCCCTTCCTGAACATAACAGCCATCATCAGGTCTGAGAGGTGGCCTCCAGGTGCTCCATGTGTGGGTGGTCCTGGGAGTCACACGGCGGCTGTTTGGAAGGGGACAGTGTGGGACCCACGGAGGATGACCCACTCGAGCAGGCCTCCTTCCCCGTGAGAGGCTGCATGACGGGGTGGGGGGGCGCGCACTGCCACCAGTCCCAGGGAGGAAAGCCAGTGTCTCCCGAGGAGCTGGGCAGCCCAGCCTGGACCGCACTGGCCTCTAGGGCCTCTGCCTCTTTGCTGTTGCTCCCGGCATAGATCTGCCTCACACTCTTCCCCTCTCCGCTCCCGCCACCTCTGTAGGGCCCACTAGCCGCTGCCATCTCCCCCCACCCCTTCTTCCCCTTCTCTCACTACCCCTCCTCCTGCTTCTCCCCACTTTGGGGGCTTTCCAAGGGCATAACTTGGGGGTGCTTTCGTTGGAGGGTTAGGCCCAGCCATCCCCATTCTATCCCTTCACTCCTATCTGGGCCCCTGATGGACTCCGCCCAGCTTCAAACCCTCTCTTCTCCATGCATTTGCTCTTCTGCGGGGGGGAGGGGTGTCTCAGGTCCTTTAGATGAAGATCCCTTCAGGGTCACATTGGGTAGTGAGCAACCATCACCAAACCCATTTGACCCCAGGTTGGACTCCTAGGTCAGGCTTGGGGAAAGGATGTCATTTTCAGGGTGAGACCTCATCTCTAGACTTAGGGGAATCGGAAGAGCAGGGCAGCCCAGCCCGCACCTCATTTCACAGGTGCCAAGGCCCAGAGTGCCTCCCCCAGCTCTTTGGACCCCCGCCAGGGCACTTTCTCAATGGCCCAGTGAGGTCTGCGGTGGCTCAGATAATGAAGCCCCGGGGCTCTTTGGAGGTTGCCCTTCGGAAGCAATCAGAGGCCTGGGCTGGCGCAAAGTACTGAGGGAGCCTGGCCGGCCCCGTCACCCCCTCAGACTCGCCCAGGGGCCGGAAGGCCCCTGACACCCTCCTCCACCCCGCCGCCAGACGAGATATACCCGCGCGGTGCGATCCCAAAGCAGACCCGCAGATAACCCCTTTTAGGCGAAAAAATGTGCGCACACAGAGGCAGGGCCTCCTCTGCTCCGGAACTGCAGCGTTGTTGGCCGGCAAAGGGTTCATAGCGGGTCCCTCCTCCCCGAACGAGCCCCTCAGCCCCCACCCCAGAGGTGCAGGGCCGGGGCAACGCCTGGGACCCGGCTGGGGCCTCCAGCCGCCGCCGCCGCGAAAATCCCGGAAACCGTCCTCTCGTGGCGGGCGCAGTGGAAAAGGTGACCTCAGCGCCCGAGGCCAGCCACCCTCTCCCGGAGGCGGGCGGCGAGGGGCTTCGGGTGGCAGGGGGTCCCGGCGCCGCCCCGCCGCCGGCTGGGGCCCCTTTCCCCCACTGCTCTGCCCTTCCGGACCCCACAGCCGAGCTGCAGGGGAGACGCGGGGGAAAGGGGTTACCTCCCTCCCTAACCAACCCCCTCTGCCCGGGTGCGCAGGTTCCAGACTTTCCCCCTCCGCCAGCCAAGCCTCCTCCTTCCCCGGAGCCTCTCGGTGGGATTCTGAAGTCGTTCGCCTTAGGGGTCCTACGTGCTGGGGGGAGCTGAGACTCGGGGGAAGCTGAGACTCGAGTGCGCAGGCCTGGCGGAGGTTGGCGGCCCTTGGCGGTGTTTCTGCACCTCCGGGAGGGGCCTGGGACCAGCTCCCCTCGGACCCCCACGCGACCTCGGCCGGTGTCCTGGCTTCTCTCCTCCTGGTCGCGCGTTGGGATCTTACCAGGCAAAAACGGCGTCTGGCGGGAATGGAGCGTAGGTTGCTTCTGGACCTGTCTGGCTCACCTCCGAGGCGATCGCCCAGCAGCTGCCTGAGGGGAGTACCACACCTCCTCCGTGTCCACAGAGCGGGAAACCGAATCCCGACGGGTCCTCTGCAGCTCCGCGCCTCCCGCCAACCTCCTTCCCGAGCACGCGCAGCGCAGCTTCGATGCCCCGCACACAGGTCCTCCTCCTCTCCCCGCTTTCCTCCGGGAAGTCTTCAGTTATGATGGCCCCCAGCCTGGGGCCGGCAGGCGGTGAGGAACCCCGCATCTGCTGGATCTCAGGTGGGAAGCGACAGGAATGCTCCGTCCGGCTTGGGCCGGAGCTCTGCTCGTGCCTGATGCATAAGTTCGAGACTGGCGACCTCTGGCCTGCCTTCAATGTGGAAAATCTCGGGGTGCTCACGCTCGCAGGTCACATCTCCCAGGGACCGCCGAGTTACTGTCTCGCTGGAGAAGCCGGTCTCTGTGGTACCTTCTTTCATGAAAATTTCGATGTCAAGTGTGGACTTTTCGTTTTGGATCATTTCAAATCGCTGTGAGCTGGGGGCTCGAATCGTGTTTTGAGACAGTGCCTTAAGACACATCCCTCCCTCTTTCCTTCAAATTATCCCCTTTCGGGTATTTTACAAACTTGCTCCTTTGGGATCTGTTACTTTATTTTTGTTTTGTGGTTATTTTTGTTAAACGTGTGGTTTTCTTTAAAAGTGTGAATTTTAGAAGATTATAGGCAGGTAATAACTAGCCTGACCCAGAGAAGACCAAGGGCGACTCTGCTGGACAGGCACAGACAAAGGCCGCCTCCGCTCATGCCCACCCCTCCCCTGGTGCGGTCGGCTCACGCAGGGACCTTGGAACACAGTCCAGCTGCGCTGATCAGCGCCCGAGCCTGTACCCTGGGCCTGGAAGCTTGGCCACTGGGGCCTCCGTTCGGTGGGGCCCCTCCGCATGCGACCGTAGCGAGGCCAGATGTGGGCCGTCTGCGGGAACTCGGAGATGTGCGCCGCGCTCTGGGTGCTGCACACTGGGGACTCAGCACCAGGCCCCAGGGAGACTGGGTCTGACTCCTGTGGGGTGCGGGTCTGGGACCACATTCGTACTCAGAGCTGCTCCGCCTTTGGGGAGAGCGAGGGTCAGTGCCCGCCAGCCGCAGGGTCCTTGTGGCTTCATCCCGGCAGGTGCCAGGTCACCCATGCGCCGGGTCACTGGTCCCTGAGGTGGCAGAAAAGGAGAGGCCCTGGGACGGAAGCCAGATCCTCTGGTGCCACCGGCCAGGTCTCCTTTCTTTCGTTTTCTTTGTCCTTCCTTCTTTGCTCTCCTGCTTCTCTCCCCTCCCTCCATTCAGTTACCGTCTTTCTTCCTT